TCAGCGAACAAAAGCCCCCCCCCCCCCCCCCCAAAAAAAAAAAACACACACACTCATCCAGTGGGGCTACCCCCCTGCACTACAAGGGTCCTGCATTTAATGTGGTGCCATCAGTGGGCCTTCGAATACCGGAGCCAAGGGAAGAGGCTACGAAAGAAAGATCAAGTATTACCATACCCCAAAACAAAAACAAGCAGTTAACCCTTGCAGTGGTAACATTTCTTAGTAGCAAAAGATTACAGCTCTAGCTTTAACGTCTACAGTGAGTCCAGTACTATAGTCCACCCACAATAGCCTGCAAATACCTACATGCTCTCATGAGTTCATACACTTTCTCAGGGCAGCCCTCCGGACGCTCCATGCGATAATCCTTCTCCAGCAGTTCGTACACTTGTGACAGATCAATGCCAGGGTAAGGGGACATGCCATATGTTGCAATTTCCCACAATAAAACACCAAAAGCTGTGAAACAGAGAAGAGAATGCTCATACAGTACACAAGAGAACACTAAATAAGGTACATTGGTAAAGGGACAATTCAGTAAACACGGAAACAAAAATAAATTATATAGTGAGTAACAGTGGAACAAAAAATTTCAAACAAGGGGAGTGAAGCCTGATGTAGCATTACTGAATCATAACATACATCCACAAATGAATGCTGCAGATGTCTAGAATCTTTCATTTAAAAGACAACAGAATCTGCCATGAAACGCTTCTAGATGCCCTGCATCAAAGAAAACTTCACTTTTATTGCAGCGGATTAAAAGATTATACAAGCAGAGACAGCTGTGAAGATCCCAACTGGTATTGTGCTTAACTGGCACTTCATAACAGGGCAGTGGTAGGCTTCGGCGCTGTTCCACTGCTCCAGGGCACTAAAGGGAATGCAGGCAGATCAAAAACTGCAGGGTGTTAATTTGCCGATGTTTGCGATTACCTGTGGCAGGAATTAATTTATAGCTAAAGTCAAAACTTTTTTTCTTTTTTTAGTTGTGAATAGTGGAGAAGTGTTAAAACCTGTAAGGTTTGTATTGCTGTCTCTGTCCCCGCTGGGAAGTTTCACCCCTCTATTTGACCTGGTGACCACTGTCAATAGGCCAGCTAAAAAAAAACTTAAAGGGCTTTTAACAGTGCCCTACGCTATCCAAACCAAAAGTTTTCACTTTTGGGTTGATTCAAACTAGAACCATGAAAAATGCTTGCTCTAATGTTCTCTGATTCATGTGCACTTTGATACATTTTCACAGGACCCAGTTTAATCAACCTGAACTGAAAATCAATGCCATAAATGTAGCATGAAGAGTATTTTACCTCTTCCTACTTCAAGCTGATGTATTGATGTGACTGAGATCTACAGGAAAAAAGGTTTTCTAATGTCAATGCATTTCCTTGGAACAATATATAACATTTGGAATCTTTACTTACCCCACACATCCGACTTGATGGAGAACTTGTTGTAAGCTAAGCTTTCAGGGGCAGTCCACTTAATGGGGAATTTAGCCCCTGCATGGGCAGTATACGTGTCGCCTGTCATCAAACGGCTTAGACCAAAATCAGCTACTTTTACCAAGTGGTTTTCCCCAACGAGGCAGTTTCTGGCTGCAAGATCCCTACAACAACAACAAAAAAAAAGGAAAAAAGGTCACTATGTGCAAAACTCACTCTGCCAACGAAGTAGTCTAAAGACTGGCAAAGGGTAATTCAAGAACATGTCCATGAAGAAGCCAACTGATTAGGAACACCGGTGCACTTTATTCTTTCACCATTTCTGCTCTTCTATAAAGCTGTGTGTGTGGTTGTGTGTGTAGAGGGGTGGGGGCAGAAGTAAACTCTGACAAATTGGAGGAGGGTCAATGCAGTGTAACCGCTGACCAATAGGGGACGATGAGAGAATGTAACCTCTGAAGGGGGTGGGGGGTTATGCAGTGTATCATAATGGCCCTGGAAAGGTTAGAACTTCTGTCTGGTTTTAACTTCAGGGCTCCTATTGTGGACATGTCCTTTCACTTCCTTTCCCAGAAAAGCAGCAGGTAGTGAGAAGAGGGAAAATTAGGGGATACCTATCACAGCTGCCACTGGAACATGGATCCCCTCTACTCTTGTACTGACTGACACTGTAACATCGCCCCTTAAACTTTCTATCCTTGCGACAATGGCCTCTATGACAGTAGTGAGGCTGAATCTGTCCAGCAAGTACACAGTGAGCAATAAACACCAGTCAGCGATTCTAACCTTTCACCCAAAACTAAAACAAAGTTTTGGCTGGAATTTTACAATAAGCCCCCTTTACAACATATTTTCAGAAACCTATTTTATCCCAAAGAAACTCTAGCGACAATAGTGGAGATTGTGGAGGAACAAAATGCACACAAAACTAGAAAAAAAAGATAGAATACAGCACTTCTTTTGCCTCCTTCACTAATTCTTTGCACAGTATGTTTTAGATCCTCCTACTTTACAGTAAATGTGACCAAAGGCTTCTTTCACACTTGTGTCCGCGCTGCTAGCAGTGTATGCCCTATGGGGGAAACATACCCATTCATATTTAATAGTACCACAAAGTGTACACAAACCTGGCCCTCAGGGCAATGCAATGCATGTCATGAATGACAATAGTGTTGCCCTCTGGTGCATTGGAAAACAAAAAGTCAGCTATATTTCTTGGTTCTATGGAGGCACATGAACATGCACACAAGTATAAAATGGGACCTTTAGGGCCAAAAATATTTTTATCAAGGCAATGATGTCTGCACATTATTCAATATTTTTATTGAATTATGGAAATGTAGAGGATATAAATATATCAAGTATACAACCAGTTCCAAGCAACGTGTAAGTGCAACGGTATATACGATGTATTTAAATCAATGTCAATAGATTATATCATATAAACAAACTTAGGAGTCTGACCAAATGTCAGGAACCAGGATGGAGAACTACTTATAGTTTATTTATTACAGGTATTTATATACGCAGCGCTTTACATTTACATCAGTCCCTGCCCTCAAGGAGCTTACAATCTAAGGTCCCCATCTCATATACATACAGAGCCAATTTAGACAGGAGCCAATTAACCTTCCAGCATGTCTTTGGAGTGTGGGAGGAAGCTGGGATTTGACCAGGGACACCCAGTGCTGCAAGGCAGATGCTCTAACCAGTATGCCACTGTACTACTGAGTTTAAACTACAGAATTGGGAATCTAGATAATGTTCGGGGGAGGAAGAGGGAGTAGACATGGGAAAAGGAGGAGAATGTTGGCATTCTGTTAGTTTTGACGTTGATTCCTCATTAGAGAATAGCCAATGTAGTCTGGCATTGACTTCAGCTTTCCAGAGGAAGTCAACTAGGCTTTCATGATAGTTTGCTTCATAGCTAATTAAAAATATATCATGAGCTTAAACTGTCCCTCCACTTGGAGATTATACTGGCATACTGGTGCCCAATAAGACTTGGAGTATCCCATTGACTTGCATGCAGGTTATCTATGAAAGACATTACCAAGAATATCGGCTTTAGCACACAATACATCAAAGTATTTATATTTATTGATCACTCGGGGGAACATCAGATCCATAACGAGACTTGTAAGCAACTGATAAGCTGATTTTCTGAGAATATAAATGTTATGCTTAATTCAGCAAGAATGTCACATAAGTCAATGGGACTTTATTTTGAATACAACCTGGAGGGAAATAGCATGTTGCCATCAGCAACAAGACTCTAGAAGAAACAAAATATTCAGATCAAGAATGTCCGTTACCTCATGATTTTTCACAGGAACTGTGTTTTTTTTTTTTGGCAAAATGTGTTCCCCCCAAAAACAACCACCCGCAAACTCATAAGGGCAAACAAACCCCTTATATCTGCAACACAGCTTAGTAAACTATATCTCGGTATAGGCAATGTTGCCATGTTTTTTTTACAAATTGTCATTGTTTCTTATTTCAGAACTCCTCAAAATATATATATTTTTGCATTTCCTATTTTACAACCCGTCAAAATATTTTCTTTGTCTTGGTTTAGTTTATTGCATCAAATACATTGTGTACACTATACAAAACAGCTTAGTACTTGACATTGACAGGTCGTAGTCTGGAGATCTCTTTAATTAAGCGACAATTAACTAATTATCTTTGTCCTCTAAACCACAGAGCAAGAAGGTTTATGTACTCTCTTGACTTACAGATCGGGTAGATACAGGGAGCTTACACGGAATGTATTTCTATGCTTTTTCTTTGAAAATATATGTGATTGTTCATACCTGGAAGAGCTGTTCATAACATCAACATGCTTTCATGTAGTAAAAACCTTTCTTCTATTTAGAGTTACTAACAACACAACACGCACACAGGGCAGCCATATGTGCTTATTATACTGCAGCTCACTTTGAAGGACAAACAGCACAATGAAGCGTGTTTTAGAGATGTAGTGATTGTCAGTTGAATAACTAGATGACAATCTAATGTCTAGGGCACTGGTGACCAACCTGCAGACCTTTGGCACTTATTGTGCTGCCCTTGGGGCTCCTGCAGACAGTAGTTTGTTTTCCTTACCTGGGTGCAAGTGAGGCAAAAATATTCTTTAGACTAGGCAAATAGCTTGTTTACTTCTTTCACACTTTCTTACCTTTTCTGTGCTGCCCATACCTTTTCTTTTTTTTATTTGTCTTGCCAAGAGAAATATTAAATGTAGCAAAAGTAATTTTAAGAGAACTGTTGGGAGCACAAATGTGGACGCACTGATTTGTAAAGGGTCCGACATAGCAGTGATATCTAGCAGTCTCAAGTAATGCAGAGCTGGACAATTCCCAGTCACCAGGTCACCACACAGACTGAAAAAAACAAAGCCAAACCTCCCTGCTGACAAGGTCATCACCTGCATTTTATGTTTTCACTTTTTTACAGCTTTGGTGCATCTTCCTTTCTATGTGTACTCCAGTGATGGCTGCATAGCATTTTGCAGGGATAGTCTGCTGAGGTTAATAATAGGGGACCATGCCCTACGTGCTCAAATGGCCATTTGTAGCTTCTATTGGAAGCCCATGAAACCGGGTGACAATGCAGGAGCACAACTGGGAGACAGGGACAGAGTGTTGTCAGCCTGTAACAGGAAGTACCTGAAGAAGGACTTTCATGTAAGGGTTGCCAAGTATTATTATTTTAATAAAAGCTACAAAAGATTGAAACATGCTTTTTTAAATTACATCAAAATGTTAAACCCAATATAAGGTTTTAGTAAAATTTAAACCTCCATTTCTGAACGGCCGGACGGGAGTCTTGTAGGAGCGGGAGGGCGTCTTAAGACGTCCTGCCACTCCCCCCCC